GACTATGTCGACTTCAAGTTCAGCTCTTCAACCCTTCGATTGGACCTCCTTGGTCGACCTCTTCTGCGTTCGTTTTCACGGAGAGGGAGACCGAGTCGTAACTTTTGGTTAATTGGACTGACGGGAGCCATCACTTCGGGGAAGTCCACCATTGCAAAGTACCTAGCGGAGTGCGGTGGTAATCGAATGTGTCTTCTGGACGCTGACGCAATCTGCCGCAGGGCTTATGAGTGAGCTTCATACCTTACTAACCTAATGACTCGTGATCAGTATTCAAAAGACTCATTTTTCTGACACTTTAAAGTGATGTTTGGGAAAGTCAATCAGTTGCGTTTTAATGTCAAATGTCAAGTTTTCGAGGTAACCAATCTTTGGAATTAGATATGACTGTGGTGATATGGTGAATGGAGTCATCTGGCTCAGCTTTGCGGTGTCAGTTTATTCAGGAACTACAAGTTGTACAATCAACTCTTCTGTTACAACATGTGAATTTACACACTGTAGATCTTCTATCATCACTGTTTCTGGTATGAAACCTCAGGTTTAAATAGCTGCACTAATTCAACTTGGTTTTAACAACTATTATGCTACGTGTCTCAGAGCTCCCAGCTATCTCAGGACAACGATGTATTTCATTTAAGCATATGCCTGACAATGCGGATTTTCTTTTCTCTTTACGATGTGGGGATTGCTTAGTACAAGTTCAGGCAGATTTGGCTAAGAAGTGATGCGACGAGTCCTACAAAGTCTACTGCACATCACTCTCTCCACAATAATAAGACATTATCCACTCTCTTCAACCAGCCTGTTTTATTCGCATTTCAGATCTGATACCAAAAGCTATATGAGCCTGGGAACTTATTTTAGTCTAGAACCAATTGAGCGGTTGGACGCAACTCTGAATGCTAGTGCTTCAGAACAATCAAAAATTGTTTCCTCTGTCGAAGTGGCGATCAATGAATTGAATCTCAGACCAGTTTTTCATTACCCCATCGTGGTGCTTGAGAGTGCGCTTCTTTTTGAAGTCGGATTGGATGCGTT